CAAGGGCACTCTTAACTGCCGAGCCATCTCTCCAGCCCAACCCCCCACAGGGTTGTTTTTTTTTTTTTAAGAAGCTAGGATACAGAGCTGAAAAGATGGCTCAGTAGTTAAGAGTGCTTTACTGAAAATGAAGAGGACCAGGGTTCAGTTCCCCAGCACCGACATCAGGTAGCTTACAGCTACCTATAATTCCAGTTCACAGGGTTCCAACACCCTCTGACCTCCAAGGGCACCTATACAGATAATACAAATAAATTCACACAGACACATACACATAAAAAATTTTTTAAACTTAAAAAAAAATAGGTTATAACTCTTTATAGAACCAGGCTGTGTTAGCTATGACACATGCGCCATATAAGATGCATCTACCACATACCCTACTCTCTATTTTCCTACCACAGCTTTCAAGAGGGACATACAGCTAGCTAATGGCTTTCCAAGCGTCCAAGTGCAGACTTTATCAAAGGGGAGCTAGTTATATTAGGAAGGGAGGAGAAAACAAGTGCTGATACTCAGGGCTAAGAGCTGGTGATCAGGCGCCACTAGGAAGGATGGGGTCAGCCTCATTTTTTTTCCTACCAGAAAAAGAAATGTTCACAGTATGACAGACACTGGCTGCCAAAGGAAGTCTAAAAAGAATAACCACATTATTGGATATTTTTAGCCTTTCTTTTCATAAATGTTTTGTGAAACCATTTTCCAAATAATTCTAAATCTTGTAAGTTTGCCAAAAGAAGAAATACAGTTGAATATATTGCTCATATATGAGATTACAGAGGACTGGTGACTAACTTCCTTTCAAAATTTAGTTAAAGGAATATGCCTTTGTGAGTCCTGCTCACCCAAACACAAACACCAAATTCCAGTGGATTAAGACTGTAAGAACTGAGTATCAGTCATGCAAGCAAAGTTTTCAGATTACTTGCACCATGCAAAACTGCTGGTGGGAATATTTCTATTTTGTTCCAATAGCATAGCGATTAAAATAAGTATGGACAAAACACCTTAAGTGTTCTTCTTTTGCCCAGTGTCCACCTCCAAAACTCCCAGTGTATACACTAATAAAGAGAGTGCAACTCACTACATTTGAGCCAACCAACTAAACACAGTCAAACAGAGGCACAAAATCACTACTGGAAAAATAAGATGACAATCCAAATGTGTACCTGAAGCTTGCTGTGTGGCATATCCCAGGCTTGCTTTAAAAACTGGGAGTGACTCCCAGCACTCAGGAGGTGGAGGCAGGAAGATCAGCAAGTTCAAGACCATCCTCAGCTACATGGAGAGTTTTGAGTTCAGCCTAGGCTATACAAGACCATCTCAAAAGAAGAAAATAAAAAGAAGACATACTAAGTTTAGCAGATTATAGTAACAGTTTTAGGCCATGAATGTGTTCTATGTATTTCTAGGTAGTTTGATTTTAGAAACTACACAACTGGGACTGGAGAAATGGCTCAGTGTTTAAGAGCACTGGCTGCTCTGGCAGATGACTTGGGTTTGATTTCCAGCAACCACATGGTAGCTAACAACCATCCATAACTCCACTTCCTCTTCTGTCCTCAGGCACTGCATGACATGGGTGCACTTAACACACATGCAGGCAACACACTCATACACATAAAACAAAAATAAGGGACTGGAGAGATGGCTCAGTGGTTAAGAGCACTGACTGCCCTTGCAAAGGACCCAGGTTTGATTCCCGGCACCCACATGACAGCTATGAACTGTCCTTAACTTCAGTTCCAGGGGAATCCAATGCTCTCTTCTGACCTCTGCAGCATTGCATGACACGGGTGCACTCACACACATGCAGGTAATACACTCATACACTTAAAATAAAAATAATAAATTTTAAAAATATTTTAAAATAAATGAAACATTTAATTTTTAAAAAGAACTATATAATTTTTGACATTTTTGGTTCTGCTTAAAACTAAGATTAAGTGGATCCTCTGAAGCACAGTTAATCCACAAACATGAATTACAAGCATTGTAATGACAATATGTACAAGAGAGAGTTGAAATTTTAAGGAACTCCTAATATATACACATCCATATTTACAAGGGAAATGTAATTTTAAATTTATCTTTTTGCCAAGAAAAAGAAAATGGAATCTGAATCAGAAGACCCAAGCTCCAGCCTTCTGGCTGCTAAATGTGGGGCCTCAGACACCCACCCCACAATACCTCTTCGAGTCTCGTTAGATCAATGCCTCTGAGGGCTCTTGGGAGAACTGGAGGACAGGATATGTTTGAAAATGATAGAGTACCAAGTATCACCAAACCAGGAAAGGATGTGCTCATTCAACTAGTATTCACTAAGCAACTACTGTGTCAGATACCTGGGTTCAGACCCTGAGGATATAGTAACGTTCTGAGTGCCCCAAGGTCACGTTCATTTCTTTCACACCCTTCAGACAGTTTTTTAATCTTTTTCCTCCTTTTTTAAAACAAGTAAACAGGACACAAAATAAAACAAGAATAACACCATTTTCTTTGTTTCTCTTAAGGCTTTTGTTATCTTTGAGGATAGAAAGAAGTTGGGTAATGTTCCCTTGCCTGGCAAAAAAAACCAGAAACAATTCCCCCAACCTCCCCCAGCCACCCCTTTCTCCTCATCCTGCATCTTGCTTTCTCTGTATATTTTCAAGAGTTCTAGAAACCACATTTTCATAGCTTTTCTACAAGGTGGGGCAACATTTTTTTTAAAAATCACTTATCAATAATAGATCCTTATGACAACATCTCTTTCCATCTTTTAGAGAAAAAGTAACCTGCACTATTTAAGAAGTGCTTGTCTAAGCATAATAAAAGTGAAGGCTTATTGACCTAACCTAGAAGACATGCTAGAGTGCTTTGCTTTATGAGTTTTACTTCCTTGTTCACAAACATATAATCAGGAACTTAAGATTCAGTCACTGCTTTAGATAAACCTACCTTAGATAAAATGCCTACTGAAATTCAGATGTTTGAAAATGGTAAAGAACCAAGTATCACCAAACCAAGAAAGGATTTGCTTTCTTAAGAATTTTCTTTGGCTGGCAAATAGCTTCTACAACTTAGCACCTTGCATGTGTTATGCTAGAAAAAGGAATATGCAGACAATAGGGTTTCAGAATACACATATTAAACTTTTCAAGTCAGGAACTAGCTCTTACTGCCCCTGATTTTCAACATGTCTTCAATAGATATATTAATGCCAGATTAACACTAAATGTCCAATAAGCAATATTATATGAGCATGAGACATATGAATATTACATAAAAGCATATAATTTAGAATCACTGAATTCATTTAAACCTAGAAAGAAATGCTGCTTTAGTTTTTTTTGTTTTTGTTTTTGTTTTTTGAGACAGGGTCTCAGGTGTCCCAGGCTGGTTTTGAACCCTTGAAGGGTGACCTTGAGATTTATGATCCTCCCCTCTACCCTTTCCCCCTCTCCCATCTCCTCCACGACCACCCAGGATTAAACAGTGCTGGGAATCAATTCAGGGCCCCATATGCATGCTAGGCAAGTACTTTGCCAACTGACTTCCATCCCCAGCCTACTGCCTCAACTTTTCTAAGGCACGGAAGGATTCACATACAATTCCAGCCTCAAAATCCTGGAGGGAGACTCTCGCACCCTCTAGTTTTCTGGAAATGACTAGCCACCAATGGAAGATATTTCAAACTAGCACTAGCTAAGGGCAACCTAAGTGAAAGGAGAAAATGCAAATGGAGAGAAATAAAAACCAACAAAGAAGAAAAGCCTTGGTGCAAAGGGGCAAAGAAATGTCATTCCTCCTTGACCCACCATAAGTGGGCTATGGGGGAGTAGTTCTGATTTCCAAATTCATGCCATTAGATCATCCTAGTTAAATAGTGTGACCTCAAATACTGAGGCCCATTAAAGCTGTGACGCCACCCCGACCTTCAGCACTTCATTATGGATTAGCTGATGAGCTGTTGTTAGTAATAAGGGCACTTGACCGACCACTCCTGTCCCAACATCCCCCCCCCCTTCCTCTTCTGGTTTGGAACATAAGAAGCTAAACAGACGAGAACTTCCAAATCTTAGAAACTAAACCTCAGAAAGCGCTTCATTAAACTTAAAAGATCTGGCAAGGATACCCTGGGCAGATTCCCTCTTCACCTCCAAAAACCCCAGGACTGTCTGACAGAAACCTCTGGTGCGCGCCTGTATGTTTTTAAGGGCAACAAGTTTATTCCATTACAGCCTGCTCTTATCTGATGAAAGCGTGGCTGGGTTGGCCAGGCTCCCCGGCGTTGCTTCCCAGGCCAGAAGGCCGCGGGTTCAAGCTCCGACCTGACAAGTCAGGCCAAAGCGCCCCGTTTGGAAGACTTCCCTAAAAACAAAACAAAACAAACAAAAAAAAAATCACAGTCACGATCGGCGAAACGGGCGCAAGTTCCAGTCCCATCTTTTCCCAAGCCACGCTTCCCACGGCACCCTTCCTCCAAAAAAGGAAGAAACCGGCCTAAAGCTGAGAGCCCTCTCCCGCTAGGATCTACCTAGGACCGCAACTCGTTTGCAAAACATCCGTAGCACCCACAAACTTGGCAGGAAATGCACCGATTTGAGTCTGCAACCCGGATTAGAGAGAGCGCCTGCGGTGGCCGGGTACCCCACGGCCTGGTCCCCACCTGCGCGCCCCGAGACCCGCCTGCCCCGCCGGGATCCTCCCAGTCCCGGGGTTGCTCCCACAGCCCGCCGGCCCCAGGCCCCGCCACCCCAGCCATCTGGTGGGGAAGGCGGGGCAGGGCCCCGGCTCTGCGCCTTTCCACCTCCTTCCCTCGCCCGCGGCGTCCCACGCCCACTCCACAGGCTTCCAGCACCTTCCGGGACCCTAAAGGGCAGCAGCCGCTTGTCGGCCCCCGGGTCCTTCCAGCCGAGCATTCCAGACGCCGGGCGCAGACACGTGGAGCCGGGGACTGCGGGGCCCCCGCGAGCCTTGGGGCTAGCCCCGAGTCACCCCGCGCGCGCGCCACTCACTTGCTGGCCCGAGCGGAGCTTGCCCTGAGGAGCTCTCCTGAAGAACGAGGTCCTCGCGGTGAAGAAGAAGTCCTCGGCGTCCTCCTCGAGGCTGCTGTAACCGCTGCTCATGCTGCTGGTCCCGTGGCGCGCCGGCGGCCTCCCGGGGCGCAGGCGGCCAAGCAGGGGGTGCGGCGCCCGCCCGCCCCTCGAGGTTCCCCGCGCTCCGCCCGAGCCGCCAGCGGGCCGACCTGCTGCAGCTGCGGCCGCCGCTCAAGCAGCCGTCTGGACCCCTCCCGCTGCCTCCTTCAGCCTCCAGCTCTCGCTGCCCAGCTCGGGTGCGCCGCTGCCCCGCCCCCGACCAGGCTCCAACCCGCCAGGCCCTGACCCGCCCACGTCAGGTTCTGCTCTGGATAGGCCCCGCCCCACAAGGCCCCGCCCCCGCCAGGTCGAGAGCGGGATAAGCCCCACCTCCCCCTGAATAGGCCACGCCCCCAGCTCCCGCTTCTGAGCCCCGCCCAGGTCCGAGCTCGCAGGTGGGGCCCCGCCCGTCCCCTCGCACTTGAGAAAGTTAGGTTCGAGCGCCAGGCCTGCTGTGGCTGTGCCGGGAAGGCGCTTCCCCAAACTTCCGGAAATTGCAAATTCCTGTGATCCGTCCGTCCCCCGCTACGGTAGCTGGAGTTTTGGAGAGGGCGGAACACTGCAGAGAACTTTTTCCACTGACTCTGGCCCGGCTGTCTCGCCCTCTCCCCGGGTCCCTCCAGGGGCGGCGTGGACTGACTCCGCAGGAAGCCGGCGGGGGGGGCGGTACACGGACCGACACAACACACGACTACGAGCCGGGGTCGGGACACGACACGACAACGGACCCCAGACCGTCGGGCGTCCTTAGTAACTTGTCCCTCCCAGAGGGTTAAAAAGTTAGCAAACGGGCTGTCAACTGGGTTGAGCTTATTTAAATGAAAACATCCTTTCTGGTTATTCATTTAAGCTGCGTTCGTATCTGTTCCCCATCTCTGTAGCGCGTACTCATTCCCTAGCTCGGATGGCCAAGGTGGTCGTGATTTTAGAAGCCATTTGATTCAAAGGCAAGTGGATCAAAGGATTCTGTTCATCCATACACAAAAAGAAAAAAAGTGTTTCCCTTTTTTAAAATCCAATCAGTTTTCTTTCCTTCAAGTCACTTTAAGTCTCCTGTTAATTTTGCACTTTGGTGGTTTTTAATTATGTGTACGTGTTTATATGTGCATATGAGAGGCTAGAGGTGTTAGAACCCACATCATCATGGGTGCTGGGAACTGAACTCAAGTCTTTTGGAAAAGCAGTGTGATTCTTAACCACTGATCCACCACCACTCCAGCCCCTTATGGTGGTGTTTCTAGGTTCAATTAAATCATACTAATTTCCTTGCAGACACCTTGATGGAAAAGCAGTTTTGAAGCTTTAAGGCTGCTATGGTATGTAGGCTTTAGCAGAGAGTTCTTTTTAAAAACAGGGTTTCAAAAAGAGAAAGTCTTCACTCCTTACAACCACACTTTCCTTCCTAACCTCTCTCATTCCCCAGAGCTACACTGTAAAGTGGGCAGTGCTATTTTATGCCCCGTGTACACCCAGAGCAGCAACTGGGGCTCAAACAGCAAGGTAGCCATAGATGGTAGGACTGGGACCACTCTGCTTTCTGCTGCTACAAAGGTTGTGTGTGTGTGTGTGTGTGTGTGTTTTTGTGTGTGTGTGAGACAGTGTCTCACTATGTAGCCATGGCTGGCGTGGAATTCACAGAGATCCACTGGCCTCCACCTCCTGAGGCCCAAAAGTTTTTATACAACCTTTCTGACATCACTGCTTGGTCCGCAGTCAGTCCTGCTCATTTGTGAACCAATACAAGGGAGAGCTGGACCAGAGATGACCCAAAGAAGGAAGAGACTTGGTTCCTGTGTCATCTTTCTACCCTTGGGCAGAAAGAAGGTTAGCAAACCTGCCCTGCCTTCCTTCAGCTTACTCTTCTAGCTTGCAAAATAATGTTAGTCCACTTAACTCCAGAGAGGCCTTAGGGTTAGAGCCCATTCTATAGGGCTTGCATTAAAGGCTTCTTCTCAGCCACAGTGACTGAATAAGGGACTAGAAAGTAGGAATTCTGATTTGATTGTTCCATCCAGTCTGTTGACCCCCTCTTGTACTTTGCCAAGTATAAGAGAATAGGACAATTACTTGGTGCAAAATTTTCCTTATTTGACTCTTATTTCATCATTCAAATGTTACCATATTGTAATAATACTCTTAAGTATTGAGTGGGTTAAAGAATTTAAATAACTTGTTTTATTATAGATGGAAAAGAGAAAATACTCTTACCTAGAACAAACTAATTAGTCTCTGAATACTTTGAGGACAAATACACTTTAAAGTACTTTACAATCTACCACACCATAAGAAACAATTTTTGAACTGAGCATGGTGGTGCACACCTTTAAAATCCCAGCACTCAGGAGGCAGAGTCAAGCAGATCTCTGTGACTTCCATTCCACCAGGGCTACATAGTGAGATAAGAAGAAAAAGACTTTTTATGGTTTGGTTTTGTTTGTTTTTTTTTTTTTTTTTTTTTTTTTTAAGTCTTTTTGAGACAGGGTCTCCCTGTAGTCCCAGCTGTCCTGGAATTCACTATGTAGACCAGGCTGGCCCTGAACTCACAAAGATCCGCTTGCCTCTGCCTCCCAAGTCCTGGGATTAAAGGCGTGCGCCACCACACCCTGCTGACTTTTTATGTTTTTAAGGGACAAATGACTGAATTAAAGTTTTAGATTTGCCAGCATATCATCAGCATCACTTGGGGAGTTTTGTGGGGCATTTTAATTTTTAAAAATCTATTCTTACTGTGTGTGCACATGCGTGTTATGGCTTGTATGAAGAGATCAGAGAACAATTTTGTGGCATCAGTTCTTGCCTTCCACTTTATGTGGGCTCTGGGGATCAAACTCTGGTGGTCAGGCTTGCACCAAAAGTACCTTTACCAGCGGAACCATCTTGCAAACCCCATCAGCTTCCCTTGTAATAAAAATGTCGTGATTAGAGCTGAAGTTCAGTTGCAGGACACCTTCATAAGTGGAGCCTTGAGTTTTATTCCCCAGCCCTAGGAAGGAAGCATGATTTGATAAAGTATACTCAGTGCATTTTAAGCAACACAAAGCAAAAGCTGCATAATTATTATATTTCTGTACTGTTCACATAGTATTTTTAATAAAAAGTTCTGAGTTTAAGATTTGGCTCATGATGAGTTGGAGAGATGGCTCAATAGTTAAGAGCATTGACTGCTCTTGTGGAGAACTCAGATTCTGTTCCTACCCACATGGCATCTAACAAGTGTCTATAACTCCAGTTCTTGGGAATCCAGTGCCCTCTTCTGGCCTCTGCAGGTATAGCATGCATGTGGTGCACTTACATACATGCAGGCAAAACACTAATAAAATTTAAAAATTTGAAAAGATTAGGTTCAAAAGTTGTTATAGTTCATTTAGAATTTGTCTAGTATATTTTCTGACTTATGTCAAGAAACCACTTTAAAAAAAGATTTGGCTCATGAAATTAGAATTTGTAAAATTCAAAATGCTATGTTAAACAGACATTTTTACCATTTAAAATTCAAGGAAGGGGTGGAATGAATAAAAAGGACTCTGTCAAGCTCAGTTTTGAAAGGACTTATTGTCAAACATAATTGAATTTGTAAATGGACCAAATCTCATAAATTTTCCACTGACATAGGAGCCTACTCACTTGGATTTAGAGCATACTAATCTTTTATTTCCATGTTAAGTGGGGAGCATACTTAAATGTTTATGTAAATGGTTATAAACACAAATGGCACACATTTTAATTATTCTATACAGCAAATAATTTTCTTTAAATTTGATGTAAAAGAGGATTTTATCAAATTTTTTCTTTTTCTTATATTTATTTATTTATTTATTTATTTATTTTGAGACAGGGTCTTACCATGTAGACCTGTGGGTCTGGAACTCTCTTTGTATACCAGGTTGGTCTCCCACTCACAGAGATCCACCTGCCTCTGCCTCCTGAGTTCTGGGATTAAAAGTGTGCACCCTGGGCCCGGCTTTATTCTTTTGAAACAGTGTCTCATGTACCCCAGGCTGGCCTTGAACAATGTATGGAGTATGACTTTGAGCCTCTGATTCTCCTGGCTTCACTTCCCAAGTAATGAGATTACAGGCCTGCCACAACCAATTTACAGGGTGAGTCCTGGGGATTGAACCCAGGGCTCCATGCATGACAGGTGAGCACTCTACTAACTGAGCTATATCCCCAGCCCAAAATACTATTTTTCTAAATGTTGGGAACAAAGGCAGAGCCTCGTCCATGCTAAACAAGCAGTCTACCACTGAGCTACATCCCCAACTAAAAATTTCAATCCTTCTTGCTCAACAGAAAAAAACAAACAAAAATAGTTTATGAATATAGTTATCAATTAAAAAGCTTAAATCAGATTTGGATTCTTTAAGTACTATATATCCAAGTCCATAATAGAAGCAAATATAATAGATGCAGAGAGCTAGGGATGTCGGAAAAGCTCAGTAAAAGAGCTTTTCTTTGCCTGGCATGTGTAAGGCCTTAAGTTCAATTCTCATCCCTTTATATATTAGAAAATACATTCAGAAGCCAGGCATGGTGGGACACGCCTTTAATCCCAGCACTTGGGAGGCAGAGGCAGGCAAATATCTGTGAGATCGAGACCAGCCTGTTCTACGTAGTAAGTTCCAGGACAGCTGGGGCTACAGGGAGACCTGTCTCAAAAACAACAACAACAACAACAAAAAAGATGCTGATCTTGGCACAAAGAACATATTACTGGAAAAATTACACAAAAATTCTCATTCAACAGGATTTATATTTTAGTAGGACTTGAAGACAGGCTAAAAATAAAGGAATCTTCTTGTATGTTGGAAGGAAATAAGTACTCTCATTTAAATCATGTAGGAACAATAATAATGCTTTACATAAACTGGTTAGCGATGGGGCTGGAGAAATTGGTCAGTGGTTAAGAGCACTTACTGCTCTTCCAGAGAACTCAAGTTTAGTTCCTACATCAGGTAGCTCACAATTGCCTGTAACTCAAGCCCCAGGAGATCTAATGCCCTCTTCTGGCACCCCACGGGCACCTGCACACATGTGGCACACACACTCATATACACATATAATTTAAAATAAATCTTAAAAAAAAAAAGTTGGTTACTGAAGGTCTCACTGAAGAGGTCATGTGATAGTTAATCTTTATTGCCAACTTGACTAAATTTAAAGTCACCATGGAAACATACCTCTGGGTGTATCTATAAA